GTTTATTCAAAAACTAGCTTCCAGTCAGAAATAAAATTCTGGTATGAGGAAGTTGATTACAAACAACAATAATAAAATAATATGAGGTGACAACAACAACAACAACAAAAAATCAAAAAAATCTAAAAATGCTATCGATCAAGTCATAAAAATAGCCACAGGGACTAATCAGTTGATGGCAGAGTATAAATTTTATCTATTTCGTAATGAAATCATGTGTTTTTTTAATTCAACTTTAAATTTGTGAATATGTCTGCAATTTTTCATATTATGTGGTAATTTATTAAATCCAGCTAGGGCAGCGTGAGTAAATTTTTTTGGCCAATTATAGAAGTAGCAGAATCAAGATGAAATAAGTTTGATTGTCTCGTGTGATGACGATGAATTTCTGAGTTTCTTATCAAAATAAAATTGGATTTCAGATTATTGTACATTATATTATATGAAACTTTGAGAGAATCTATTTTATATTATTCATCCGATGAACATTTTTCTGTTATGGCATACAGATCATTTGTTGGGATATCAAATGAGAGGCGATACAATACTTTCAGTGCTTTCTTATAAAGTGCAGATATTTTACTGCAATAATTTTTTTAACAAGATCCCCAAACGTTTATCATATAGGTAATACGACTGAGTATATGAGAATGAAGTACTATGTTTATGACTTTTTTGTCAAGTTTAGGACATCTTCGCAAAGCTCCAATGATCGGAGATATTTTTTGTATCAGAACCTCTATATGCTTGTCCCATTTCAATTTTTCATCAATCCGCATACCAAGATACTTTATTTGTGTAGTTCTTTTTGATACTTCATTTTTAATTTGGAGATTGAGACTAATATTCTGTTAGATGATATGTTCAATTCATTTTACAATGATTTTTTGGAATTTTTTTTTGAATCATTTCCAAAAACAAAAACAAAGAATAGAAAAAGAAATAAACCAGGGTGGATGACGAATGAAGTTGTCCAGCTACAAAAATTGGTTAATGAGATGCATACAATAGACAAACAAATTCAAAATGAATGCTACCATCAAAGAAATATTCAGATGAAAAACCTGTATAATCATAATTTGAACAGAGCAAAACTAACATATAATAATGAAAGAATATTCAATGCAAAAAATAAAATGAAGGAAGGTTGGAGGATCATTAATGAATCCAGAATATCAGCACGAAATCAAATTACAGAAATTGTGGATACAAATGGTCTTCACATATCTGATCCATGTGAATTAGCTGAGATATTCAATCACTATTTTGTAAATATTGCTGACAATAATATAAAAGCAGAACCAACTTTGAAGCATATTCGAAACAAACTCAACTCTATATTTCTAAGTCCAACAGTTCCTGAAGAAGTCGAAGAAGCAATCAAGATTGCTTGTAAGAAATTCACATATGGACCAGATGAAATACCTGGCACAGTATTGAGAAAAATCTCTCATATAATATCAATACCATTATCAAAAATCATAAACCGCTCTTTTGAGGAGGGCAAATTTCCATGTAACTTGAAGTGTTCTAAAGTCATTCCTATCTACAAGAATAAAGGACCCCAGAATGAAATGAACTCATATAGACCCATCTCTCTCCAATCTCAGTTTTCAAAAATTATTGAATATTGTTTTTGCAGCAGGCTATATAAATACTTTGAATTTTTTAAAATTCTAACTAATTCACAACATGGTTATCGTAAAGATCGTTCTACAATGACAGCTATCGAACAACTTATACAAAGCATAACAGAGGCACTTGAAAACAAAGAAAATACAATGGGTTTATTCTTTGATATGAGCAAAGCCTTTGATATGGTAGATCACAAACTGTTACTCACAAAAATGTATTACTATGGAGTCAGAGGGAGTGCATATGAGTGGATATCTTCCTATCTAGAGAATAGAACTCAAAGTGTGTTCATAAATAACATAGCATCTGAAAGTAAAACTGTCAATAGAGGAGTTCCACAGGGATCCATTCTGGGGCCTTTGCTATTCCTAATATTCATTAACGATCTTCCTACTTTCTGTTCAGATTTATCGACAAGCACTGTTATATATGCAGATGATACAAATATTATAGTGAGAACAAAAGACACTAACATGCTGAGACAACTGGGACAGGCTTCAGTCACGCAAATAGCCGATTGGAGTTTAAAGAATGGCTTAATTCTAATCAATGAAAAAACACATTCCATAAATTTCGTGCAAAAAAACTACAAAAACGAGAGTAGCATTTTACTGAAGTTAGGGAAATCGCTTAAGCAAGTTGAAACAACAGTCTTTCTTGGTATAACAATTGATCACAAGTTGACGTGGAAATCCCACATTGAAAATCTAGGATCTAAGTTGCATAGGCAATTGTTTCTTTTGAGGCAATTAAAAGACACAGTTTCTTACAACATTTTATTACTACTATATAACAGTGTAATTGAATCAGTTATTCGTTATAGAATAATTTACTGGGGCCATAGCGCAAGTTCTAGGGAGATTTTTATTTAACAAAAAAAAGCCATCAGATTGATGCTGGAGTTACCATACAACTCACACTGTAAAAAACACTTCATCAATTTGGGCATTCTGACAATGCCATGTTTATATATCTACGAAGTTTTGGTGTTCATCAGAAAGAACTCAACCTCTTTCAAAACGAACAATTGTGTACATGATTATGGTACAAGAGAAAGAGGTTAGTTACACTTGCCATTTGAAAGACTCCAAATCGGCCAAAATGATCCAAATTATATAGGCATCAAATTATACAACAAATTGGATGAATCGATAAAACTTTGTAGTACAATGAATCAGTTCAAGAATAGATTGAAAAAATTCTTAATAGGTAAGGCATTCTACAGTATTGAAGAATTTTTTCTAAACGTTGATGTAACATAATTCAGTAAAAAAAAAAAAAAAAAAAAAAAAAAAAAACAAAAAAAATTTGGCTGTGTAATTTCCACTTGTGATAAGTAAATAACTTTTTCTTGTGTTGTATTCATTAATTAATAATTATTAAGAGTGTTAGTCTTTGTGTAAACACAATTTTCCTAGGTATGTGTAATATTTCTACACTCTCCTTTTTTTGTGACAAGCTGGACAAAATGTGAATATGTCTTTGTTGTAAACCATTTACACTTCAATCCAGTAATAAAGTTGATTTGATTTGATTTGATTTGATTCATTTTTTTGATGGAATATTATACCGGGTGACATAGGCTATCGGGCCACCCCTGTAACTTCTGCATTCGTCAACGGATTTTTCTGAAATTTGGTACAGTTATATAAGCAACTATTTCGGATTTGATCACATTACAATCCAATATGGCGGACTTCCGGTTTTTCTGGAAATGCTAGCAATTTTGTTTTTTCAAATGGAACACCCTGTATATTTTTACATATTCAAGTTCAACAGGTCAGAACAAGTGCAATCTTGATGTCAAATATAATTTATTCCACAGCCTACCTAGTTGAAAAATTATTCCAACTGCAAGGAAATTCATAAACTCGTTGTTGATTTCTGAATGTATACAATTTGTTACTGCACCTGAAAACAGAAATGATATTTCATTTTGTTCCTTAATGTATGTTCTAGAGAAAAGGGTAGGTGGCCCATAGGGGTTCCATTTGAAAATAAAAATTTTTGATCAAAAAGTGATGTGGCTGAATTGATTCCTGGATAAGTGACCCAAAAAATAATTTTTCAGAAAAAATTATGTTCTTCTGTTATGTGTCACTCATTGTGAATAGTCTTGACCATATATCATTCACCCACGAAGTAAAATGAAAAATAAATTTTAATTTAATTTTTTTCGAAAAAATTACATTTGAAATAAAGATTGCACTTGTTTCGACCTGTTGAACTTTAATATGTAAAAATATACAGGGTGTTTCATTTGAAAAAAGAAAGTTACTGGCATTTCCAGAAATACCGGAAGTCCGCCATATTGGATTGTAATGTGATCAAATCCGAAACAATTGCTTCTATAACTGTACCGAATTTCAGAAGAATCCGATGACGACAGCAGAAGTTACAGGGGTGGCCCGATACCCTGTGTCACCCGGTATATTCAGTTTTATTGGTATTAATTGATAAAATGTTTGAATGAAGCCATTCTTCAAATTTTTTCAAATCTTCGTTGATAATATTTTCTAGAATGATGGGGTTTTTGTTTTCGTATAAAAGTACTGTATCATCTGCATATATAGTATAATTACCTGACAATCCAATTTTAGAAATATTTTAAATATAAAATAAATACGAGATGGGTCCTAGAACAGATCCCTGTGGACCACCTTTACTTATTGAAAATTTATTAGACTCTGACATATTACATTTACTGCTGATTGTCCTATTCGCAAGATAAGATTCTAAAAGATTTTTGGTTTGTTGTTCACGAAATCTTCTTCTGCAAAGCTTGGAAATGTCCAATTTGTTGCAAAAAATCCCTTTCGTGGGCACCGAATCAAAATCAATTTAATCACTGCTCAACCTTGATATTCGCTTCAGATGAGGAATGATCATAATCTCGGGAGATGACAATAAACAATACCGTCAATCCTCATCTGAAACGTCCTCATGTCCTATGTGAGTTCTTGGAGAATAGTGCTTCAGTGAAAAAATATTTCGTTCACAAGCAAAGATTAGGAATTTTGGACGAAACCATCAAGTGAACCAAACTGCGTATAACTTGGATACGATAACATCATAGTATAGTTTTTTGGAATCAACCACGTTGAATCGAACAAAATCACAATGTTTCGTATTCAATCGGTATTAACTGAAATCAGCTGTGGTTTGTTTTTTGTAGTGTCAAGATAATTATTCAAAAATCATGGTTGGACATAATATCGCATATAATTCGATGTGGAAAAAGCGAAGTCGAAAATTGTTGTATACAATACAGGATGTCGATTATTCACCATTCTTTTACCTTGAAATGAAGACTTGGTGAATGATTTATACAACGTTTTCGAATACACATTTCTTTTGCTTTCTAGATAAAGGCGATGAGTTTTGGTCATCTGGCTCGAAATTGTTGAATGCTAAACACTGGAAATGGATGTCGAATGGAAAGAATGTTGATTACACGAAATGGGCAACAGGACAACCTGACAGCCAAGTGGAACATTGTCTGTTACTGGTACATCAACGAAATGTTGGTTTATTTTGGCATGATAGAGATTGTAATGGTCAGTTCTGGTTCATCTGTGAGAGAAGAGACGATGAAAGAGATTCTGGTATCCCCAACAGTCTGACAAGTGAGGAAAATGAAAAATTATTTTTGATCACTTGTCATGTCCAAGATCCACCTTTCATTCTCATCATGATGGATATCAATGAATATAGCACAGAATGGATGAGAATATTTCCATTCATTCAAAAAAGTATCTGTTCAATATTCGAAAATTATTTGAGGATGTTATGAATCGACCATTTATGTACATCTTTATACAATATATTATTTCCAGAACAATATAAAATTGAACCATCCACTTCATGCTCATCGATGATAACAAAATATGCATAATGATGACAGGTTCATAAGATTCCATGGATACTTCGTGAATTAGTTTATGTTCGCATTAATGTTCTTCTAATGAGAGCGTTCACGCACCTTTGGCCGAGAAGTTCATGAGACAGTTGCTATACCAAATATAACACAACAGTATGATGAATATCTGGGAGTAGAGTACCTCAATGATGATGAGATCGCAAACTTTCGGATTGGGATAGAAAGAAAGAAGTGGTGATGGCCACTGTTAACAACATGATCGACAGTATCGTTAATGAAGAGTTGGAAAATTGAAAAGATTTGCGAATGAATCCATATTTCTACTTCAACTCGAATTTCGTTCACAACTAGTAATGGGTCTAATGATGTGTAATGGGCAATCTAACCCAGACAGCACCAGATATTCCATGAATCTCCCTATCATATTCCTTTTGGAATATTGGAATATTCTAGAAATATTCTGGAAAATTCCGGAATATCTGTGGAATATTCTCTAAATATGCGAATGGGAATTCCTCAGATAATCATAGAATATACCCAAAAGAATATTCTATGTCGAATGTTCCTGGAATATTCCAATAAACATATTCTAAAATTAAAAAAAGTGACCCAAGTAGGGATCGAACTCGTGACCTCAAGACTATCAGAGCAGCTTCTTGACCACTAGGCCAGTAATCGAATTGAATAATGTTATACATATCAAGTTCTTGTGAGAGCATTGTTCGAAATCGGATCATAAACACTTTTTGTTTCAAAATCCCCTTACATCTAATTGATGTTCGATACTCATATCTCTGAAATAATAAATGGTATTTATGTGTTGAGAAACAAAGGAATATTCATGGAATATTTCATGAATATTCACCACCGAATATTCAGTTGAGAATATTTCATGAATATACCGCACAGAATATTCAGTTGGGTATATTTCATGAATATACCGCACAGAATATTCAGTTGGGTATATTTCATGAATATACAACAGAGAATATTCAGTTGGGAATATTCCTGGAAGATTCATACCTGAATATTCCCTGAACATGTCCGACTATTCACTTTGGAATGTTCCCTTTAGATGTTCCAGTGGCATGTATATATTCTAGGAATAATCGACGAATATTCGGAATATACTCCTCCTTTTTAGCATATTCAGAGAATATTCTATGAATATCCAGTGCTGTCTGGGAACGATACTGGTGATACCTCGGATGCAGTATAATCCAATCCAATATATGAAACAACTTTCAAAACACCTCTACCAGACCATAAAATGTCGGTCAATTGATAATGAGAGATATCAACAGTGTCACAAACCGTTTTGGCCAAAGGTGCGCTCGCTTGCTTTTTTCATGATGAAATGAACTCATATTTTTCAGAATGCTCACTCGTTTTTCCATATATCCTCACTGAGTCACAATCTGTTTTCAAGTTGAGTGATTCATCATTTTATGAATGATATCCGATAGTTCATATTGAATCATCAAAATCCTGAATTCAAAGAAGAGGATTTTTCACATTTATTCTCTGATTCTGATAGAAGAATAAACAACATTCAGTATAACATGGCTTATATGTTGACAACCAATTATCGAAAAACTACTTCATGAAACTGTTTGAGTCATTCATTACTATCTGCGGTTTGATGCATAAAATGTATTTTTCAGTATGGAATAACCTATTTGGAAATCCGGTGATATGGTCGAACATGGATCTTTTACAGTTCGCGAATAAGAGCTATTATTTCTCCAGGAACTTCAAGGTAAATGATCATTTCCTAATCCAAAGTTCCACCTATGATCCAATCAGATTATATGGAAAGTCACTCGCTCAGGCTCAGACTCAGACGTTACTTGATCAAATCAGTGCGTGCACATGTTGATCTTATTTTTTTTTTATGTTTGTAATCGAGCTTTATAGGCAGATCTTCGTGTCAATCTAGTCAATTAAGGTCGGACTCGAAATATCTGAGACATATCTGAGAATGTTACGAGAAATGAAATGAAAATGACGAAAATATGATCGAATTGATCTTCATCATGATATATAGGTATTTGTTACACTAGGCAGCAAAATAGTAGATTGACTGCCATGGTTAATAGTTCAAAGTCGAAGGTAGCGATGTTAGGAATCTAACAAAACTGACAGAAAATATTGCGAGATCGTTGGTCGAGAAATTCTGTCTTATGTGAGTATTCCAAGAGGAATTTTGGATGGAAAATTGTAGAGTCAGTGAAGGAATTCATCCGATTGGAGAAAGAGTTAGAGTGTTGTTTGGCGAGATGAATAAACGAGATTTCACAAATACACAACAATAATCATTACAAGTCATGGAAACCATCCATTCTCAAAGTGGCCCAGTATTTTTCAAAGAGAGAAAAACAATAACTCAAAGTCGGTCGACCACAAAATTTAATAAAAGGAGTGACTATAGTTTCGGCTCAACGGCCATCTTCAGACACAATGTAAAAAAGTACCTAGAAAATTATAAGTTGTTAAATCTAGACAATATGGTGGCTGCGAAAGAACATACCTTATGGAGAAAAGTATACTAATTAAAAACTAACTAGTAGGTCAGCATCGAATCATCCGTCCAAATTGGAACTAGTAAAATTTAAAACGGCTGAAAAGCCAAAAGAACATTACGATGAGTAAGTTCAACATTAGAAAATTCAAAAAATTTTGATTAATTAATCAACTCAACGGTGCTTCATCAGCGGTCAGGCCATCAACAGGAAAGACAACGCCGTAGGTGAAATGGAAGTGATGATTTGACATTGACATCACGAAATGACAATTTCAAAGTCAGCGTAAAACATTTGAATGACAGTCAAACATATGAAAGATGAGTTTCAAATTCAAAAATTGACATTATTGACGCTAAAAAGTTATACAATTCAATAAAACTATGTAAACAAAAACAATAATTGATGATAGAGATGTACGCGAAAAGGGTCAAGAAGAGCAAACAAAATTCAAGAAAGAAGAATAAATGATTATGATAAAGAAAGAGAAGCAGAAGAACCAACATTCTGTCAAGATAAAGGATACAGGACAGGCTCTAGCGCAGGGAAACCAATGTGTGATTATTATGAAAAATGTAATGTACGGAAAATATGATTACGGTCAAAGTTGGTCTGATCATTTAAACAAATACTCTGAGGATTATTGATGCATTTTTGAATTTCTGAAATCTCAAGAAGGTTAAGCCGTGGACCTTTGTTGCAAACATGTATAATATCCATATTAGAATTAACATTAAAACTATGGTTTGAATCAATGATATGGTTGGCAAAAGAAGATGTGGTATTGTGATTTTCTGAGTTCAGAAATTTGTGGATAAGTCTATTGTGTTCAGAGGCCCGAATCTCAAAACTCCTACCTGTCTGACCAATGTAGGATGCATTACAATCATTGCAATTGAGTCTGTAAACACCAGATTTCTTTACAAGCGGAATTTTATCTTTGGAGTTAAATAATAAATGTTTCAAATTAGAAGAAGTTTTGTAAGAAATAGAAATGTTGAGAGATTTGAACATTTTTGCTAGTTGAATGAAATAATGGCCAAAATAGTGTAATGATTTATATAAGGGAGGGTCAGCGACTTGACTGGATGTGACATTAAATGTTAATCTATGTTTAGTGTAAAATTTGAAATATAACTTCATGATCAAATCAGGTGGGAAATGGTTATTCAAGGCAATCTGTTTGATAATATTGATCTCTTTATCAAAGGCTGTTTGAGAAAGAGGTAATGAAAAAGTTCTGTGGAAGAAACAATTGAAGGATGCCATTTTTTGTGAAAAAGGATGATTGGAATTAAAAGGTATGACTGAATCTGTGGCTGTTGGTTTCCTGTAAATTTCAAAATCAAACCTATGAGTATGTGAATTTTTTATAATTAATAAATCCAAAAAGGGCAAAGAATTATCAATTTCTGATTCCATAGTAAATGTGATATTAGGATGCAGTGTGTTAATGTAATTTAGGAAATTGAGAACAACCCTAATGTCGCCTTCAAAAAGTAATAAGCAATCGTCAACATATCTATAATAAAATACTAAGTTTGAATTGTAATTAGGATTATTTAAAAATTACTTCTCGAAGTTGTTCATAAAAATTTCTGCTAATAATGGAGAAACATTACTACCCATTGCCAGGCCAGTTGTTTGTCTGTAAAATTTATCATTGAATTGAAAAAAATTTTGATTGAGAACTAAGCTTAATAGGTCACAAATGTTCAAGGTGTGGTGAGTTGGGATGTTGTTATCAAACAGTAAGTTTCTAACTAATGAAATACACTCATCAGGAGGAATACTAGGAAACAAGTTGGTCACATCAAAAGATACTAAAACTGAGTTAATGGGAATAGGAATATTCTTAATTTTATTAGCTAAGTCTATTGAGTTTCTAACAGCATAGCAGTTATCAAAAGCAGTGAGATCTCTAAGTAATTGATTCAAGAAAGGTGCTAATTTGCAACAAGGGGAATTAATTCACTGCTTTTGATAACTGCTATGCTGTTAGAAACTCAATAGACTTAGCTAATAAAATTAAGAATATTCCTATTCCCATTAACTCAGTTTTAGTATCTTTTGATGTGACCAACTTGTTTCCTAGTATTCCTCCTGATGAGTGTATTTCATTAGTTAGAAACTTACTGTTTGATAACAACATCCCAACTCACCACACCTTGAACATTTGTGACCTATTAAGCTTAGTTCTCAATCAAAATTTTTTTCAATTCAATGATAAATTTTACAGACAAACAACTGGCCTGGCAATGGGTAGTAATCTTTCTCCATTATCAGCAGAAATTTTTATGAACAACTTCGAGAAGCAATTTTTAAATAATCCTAATTACAATTCAAACTTAGTATTTTATTATAGATATGTTGACGATTGCTTATTACTTTTTGAAGGCGACATTAGGGTTGTTCTCAATTTCCTAAATTACATTAACACACTGCATCCTAATATCACATTTACTATGGAATCAGAAATTGATAATTCTTTGCCCTTTTTGGATTTATTAATTATAAAAAATTCACATACTCATAGGTTTGATTTTGAAATTTACAGGAAACCAACAGCCACAGATTCAGTCATACCTTTTAATTCCAATCATCCTTTTTCACAAAAAATGGCATCCTTCAATTGTTTTTTCCACAGAACTTTCTCATTACCTCTTTCTCAAACAGCCTTTGATAAAGAGATCAATATTATCAAACAGATTGCCTTGAATAACCATTTCCCACTTGATTTGATCATGAAGTTATATTTCAAATTTCACACTAAACATAGATTAACATTCAATGTCACATCCAGTCAAGTCACTGACCCTCCCTTATATAAATCATTACACTATTTTGGCCATTATTCCATTCAACTAGCAAAAATGTTCAAATCTCTTAACATTTCTATTTCTTACAAAACTTCTTCTAATTTGAAACATTCATTATTTAACTCCAAAGATAAAATTCCGCTTGTAAAGAAATCTGGTGTTTACAGACTCAATTGCAATGATTGTAATGCATCCTACATTGGTCAGACAGGTAGGAGTTTTGAGATTCGGGCCTCTGAACACAATAGACTTATCCACAAATTTCTGAACTCTGAAAATCACAATACCACATCTTCTTTTGCCAACCATATCATTGATTCAAACCATAGTTTTAATGTTAATTCTAATATGGATATTATACATGTTTGCAACAAAGGTCCACGGCTTAACCTTCTTGAGATTTTAGAAATTCAAAAATGCATCAATAATCCTCAGAGTATTATTTGTTTAAATGATCAGACCAACTTTGACCGTAATCATATTTTCCGTACATTACATTTTTCATAATAATCACACATTGGTTTCCCTGCGCTAGAGCCTGTCCTGTATCCTTTATCTTGACAGAATGTTGGTTCTTCTGCTTCTCTTTCTTTATCATAATCATTTATTCTTCTTTCTTGAATTTTGTTTGCTCTTCTTGACCCTTTTCGCGTACATCTCTATCATCAATTATTGTTTTTGTTCACATAGTTTTATTGAATTGTATAACTTTTTAGCGTCAATAATGTCAATTTTTGAATTTGAAACTCATCTTTTATATGTTTGACTGTCATTCAAATGTTTTACGCTGACTTTGAAATCGTCATTTTGTGATGTCAATGTCAAATCATCACTTCCATTTCACCTACGGCGTTGTCTTTCCTGTTGATGGCCTGACCGCTGATGAAGCTCCGTTGAGTTGATTAATTAATCAAAATTTTTTGAATTTTCTAATGTTGAACTTACTCATCGTAATGTTCTTTTGGCTTTTCAGCCGTTTTAAATTTTACTAGTTCCAATTTGGACGGATGATTCGATGCTGACCTACTAGTTAGTTTTTAATTAGTATACTTTTCTCCATAAGGTATGTTCTTTCGCAGCCACCATATTGTCTAGATTTAACAACTTATAATTTTCTAGGTACTTTTTTACATTGTGTCTGAAGATGGCCGTTGAGCCGAAACTATAGTCACTCCTTTTATTAAATTTTGTGGTCGACCGACTTTGAGTTATTGTTTTTCTCCCTTTGAATAATCATTACCTTAATTGATTATTCCCTGTTACTACTAGTTCGCAGTAATCGACTTCCTGATACTTTTCTAGTTACTTTTGACGAGATTTTCCTGAAACATTTTATCTTGCGAATTCAGACATGAACAATTCCCAACGATTAAACTTCACACGACAGAAATTATAGTGACATCAGGCGCATACCAACAAGATGTAAGGAACATGCAGCTTCAGAACGATCAAGAAGGTGCATCCTTCTTTATCGATAACAAAATGACTTACGTCAGGGTCTCAATTAGCGTTTTCTATGGAGAAGTTGATTGATCATCACAAATGCCTGGTGATTGATCGATTTCAGGAATCTGAAGAGATCTCATTGATTATTATAATAACTGGTGAATGGTCGGTTCAAATTGAAGAAATCACTTTGGTCCTTATAATAGGCGTGAATTGATCGATCAAAATATGATCTCTCATGATACATCTTCAGGAAGCCTCTGCAGGAGTGATTATGATGGAATATTCTACTACAGATTGCATGTCCAATTATGCTCTGCTATCAGAGACATTTTCTCAAGTGCATTTCAACTTGATTCTTGTTGAGCTGTTGAATGAATCATAAAATCAAATTGATATACGTAATATGATAGGTGATGATTTCTTCATTCTAGGGAACATTTCTCCAGGCCAACCAGTTCTGTGAAATGATCGGCATGGACCTAGTAACGATTAAATCAGCTGAAGAGAACAAGAGACTTCATAAATATATCAGAGATACCAGTAAGTTGACCATTCAAGCTCTCACCAGTATTAAGTTCCATCATATAATATTTCTTTCATATCTCCAGATGCGGGCATAGACTGGTGGTGTTCTGGAACCAGATTTATCGATGGAAGATCTTGGATCTGGACCTCCACTGGTGAACAGGTAGATTACACCAATTGGTTGACAGGCCAGCCAGATAACATCAATCATCACTGCCTCCACCTGACTGACCAAAAAAATACTGATTTGTTCTGGGACGATCAAGATTGCAACGTACAGTATCAAGTGATCTGTGAGAAGTGGCATAAGTTTGCCAAGCCTGAAACAATGAATATTGGCAGGAAACAAATAAGTGATTGCGATGAGAGTTATAAAGACAACAAAGTTCACAAAGGTTGGTGCAGGGATAATGTTATATTCTAATCATTTGATTCTTGCTTCTTAATTGCTTGTAGACTTGCTAGTGGAACTCAGAAGAACTTCTCCAGGTTATATAGAGTTTACACATATTGAAGGCAGGAGATTTCATGTCCAGAGCGAAATTGAAGTGAGTAGGATATTTTTTTTTTAAATTGACTCGGCCGTTACTTGATGGAAATCCATGATGAATGTAAAAACTTCACAACGATAAGATTTTCACAAAATTTTTGAACAAACGACATGTTTCGCTAACACAGTTGCTTCGTCAGGTTATATACTGGTACAATGAACTAAACTAACGTTGGCTTGCTTAACTTTTATATATCTCACTTTCCCAACCTGAAGGATAAGTCACCTGTGGACAGGTACGATAAACCTCCATTTTCGGAAATTAGGCACAATATCTACAATGAATTACGATATACCGGATTACTTGAAAGAGTTGATAACAAATACATATTATTACTTACTAAGGAAACAAATTCAACAGTGGTGAACTATTGAGGTATAATTGTTCATTAAGTAAAATGTCGAGTTTTTCGAGTTCGTTGATTTCTAATGATTCAAAATAATTGAGTTTCAGTCCTTTATTTTCTACGTGCAGAATTTCGAAATCATCATCGAAACTATGGTTTTCTTCGAATATTTATATGGTTGGCGTATGTTGAATTTGTTTTCTTTTTCATAAAATTCATCTTATGTTCATGAATGCGCTGATTAAACGTACGACCTCTTTGACCGATATATATCTTAGGAGAAGATCCACATTCGAGTTTGTATACCCCTGATAACTCTAATTTGAAAGTTTTGTCTTTATTATTCTTGATAAACCGTCCCAACGTGTTATTTGTTCTATATGCCACTTTGAAGTCATGTTTATGTAAAAATGAAGCTTATATCTCAATTGATGATCCGAAATAGGTTGAAGTTTCAAGATTTTGATTATTTTTCTTGATGGTAGGATAATTCGGATCATCTACTGAAAAATTAGCTTCATCTCTACATGAACAGGACTTCAAAGTGGCATATAGAACAAATAACACGTTGGGACGGTTCATCAAGAATAATAATGACAAAACTTCTAAATTCGAAAAATCAGGGGTATACAAACTCAAATGTGGATCTTGTCCTAAGGTATATATCGGTCAAACAGGTCGTACGTTTAATCAGCGCATTCATAAACATAAGATGAATTTTATGAAAAACAAATCAAATTCAACATACGCCGACCATATATTAGAAGAAAACCATAGTTTTGATGATAATTTCGAAATTCTGCACGTAGAAAATAAAGGAATGAAACTCAATTATTTTGAATCATTAGAAATCAACAAACTCGAAAATTTTGACATTTCACTTAATGATCAATTAGACCTTAATAGTTCACCACCGTTGAATTCGTTTTCTCAGTAAGTAATAATATGCATTTGATATCAACTCTTTCAAGTTAATCCGGTATACCGTAATTTAATGTAGATATTGTGCCTCATTTTCGAAAATGAAGGTTCATCGTACCTGTTCACAGGTAACTAATCCTACAGGTTGGGAAAGTAAGATTTATAAAAGTTAAGCAAGCCAACGTTAGTTTAGTTCATTGTACCAGTATATCACCTGACGAAGCTACTGTGTTAGCTAAACATGTCGTGTGTTCGAAAATTTTGTGGAAATCTTATCGTTGTGAAGTTTTCACATTGAGTAGGATTATATCACAAGTATGATATAAGGAAAGAACGAACTAAGATTCAGCTCAACTACAAATGTAGAATGACTCTTTTCATTGTGAGTTCTCTATTATGATTAAATCAATTATCTGAACTGTACTCCATCAACTATCGTGCTCTGAAATATTGTGAAACTGTACATCCTCAAAATGGATCAGATTCTTTCTCCATCTCGAATGAATCACATTCTACCATCGGTCCTAGCTCTAACCTTTCGATGCAATCATTTTATGAGTAACAATCCTTTCATTAGTTGGGATATTGTTTCGCATATAAAGATGACGCTGTTGAATCTCCTCATTTCATGATCTTCCATGCTTATCTCCGCTTAGGCGAATTAGAAAATGAATCAACACAATCCTCCGCAATGGTCAAACGATTTATGATGAGATTCTCAATGGAACATCAGGATGTGAAAGACATTGACAATTCCAATGGCATGAATGCATTTGCAATCTCCATTTTGTTGTACCATCTCACAACTTTTTATATCATTCACGTGATTTTCACATGGAGATGACATACGAAATGATTCATAAAGGGTTCTTTTTTATTTTGAAATCAATCTGTACCGCTATGCATTTTCAGTTTATTGAACTTCTCAGTCGAAATTCAACGATATCAGACACATGATACTACTGAAATATTTGAATTGATATTTTGATTGATTTAGAGAATTGATAAAAAAGATGACGATTTTGATGACAGCAATGAATTCATGGCCCACTCATCTCCATCTTGTTGATAATCTCTTATATCCGTACACATTTTTGTACTCATAACTTTTTCTGTTTCTCAACAACAACCTCGAAAATATTCGAAGTTTGGAAAGCAGAAGAAGCTGGGAAATATTGTCGAATCTGAGGTCTTTTGAAATCATCACAATACAGGGTGATTCAAGTCAATATAAAATGAAAAATGATAATGTTGACAAGCTGAGCTGGTAGACTTTTATCACTGTTTCTCAGTGAAACTTTCGTGAATATTATTTTCATCGCTTGGAGCGCACGGAAAGAAATCCCTATATTGTTGAAAGAACATCGTGCGCTCCTAGGGAGGATAGAGACAGAAGGTAGGTATTGAAATTTGTTTTGAACTACTGGAGATTATGTGTTGTTGGGAATACTTCCTCAGGCAATGAATTCCAGAGCCTAGCCGTTCTATGGATGAAGGAGTTTTGATAAAGTTCTGTTCGACATCTTTCGAGGTCGACAACGAAAGGATGTGCTGACTGGGCTCGTCTAGTTCGTCTGACTGGTATTGCTAGTGAAGGGATGATAGCAGAGATTAACGAAGAACATTTTCCCTTGGAAGTATCGATAGAGAAGTGACAGGTCGCCGACCTTTTTACGGTGTTCCAATTATGTCAAAGAGTGAGTGAATGTGGCGTCACCCACCAAGCAAATGGCTCTTCTCTGGATAGAATCTTGAAGCATCAGCGTATTTTTTGGTGCTGATTCCCATATGTGCGAAGTATTCTAGAACAGGCCGTATATGCGCTTTGTAGATCATGAGAAGCTGTTGAGGTGTAAAGTAGCTTTCCGCAAGAAACAACAATCCGAGTTTTTGTGAAGCAGCTTTTGCGATGGATCTGACATGATCATCCCAGGAAAGAGTGTTGCTGATAGAAATACTGAGCATAGATATGGTGGGCTTGGTGGAGATGGTGGTGCCAGACATTACGAAATCGAGTATACTCAGTTCCGCTTTTCTAGAGAAAATACGGGCTTGAGTTTTGGTGGTGTTGAATTCAACTAGGTTGTTGGTTCCCCAGACTGTGATTCCAGCAAGGTCTTTATTGACAGCATTGACCTGCCTGCGCCGCGAGTTCTCAGTTTCCTGGGAAGAAATGGAAATTCTGAAAGAGAACGCAGTATGGAGGGTACTAGCATCTGCAAAGCTGTGGATGGGACAAGTTGTTACTCTCAAAAGATCATTGATATAAAGAAGGAATAATGTTGGTACCAGTATTGATCCTTGTGAAACACCGGAGTTGATGCCAATGGTATCAGACGATACACCGTCCACCACCACGTGAAGCGCTCTGCCTGAAAGAAAACTCGATAAGAGATGGCATAGCTGAGGTGGTTAGCCGTATGATGGTAGTTTGTGGAGGAGTCCTGCATGCCAAACATGATCGAATGCTTTCGATATATCCAACGCAACAGCTAGAGATTCCCCGTGTTTTTCTAATGAAGCTTGCCATAAATGGGTGACGTAGGCTAGTAGATCTCCAGTAGATCTTTGGTGGCGAAAGCCGTATTGTCTATCATTGATGATTCCTGAGCTCTCCAGATATTTGGTCAATTATTTTGTGAAAAGATCGATAATATTCTTCTCAGTATGGCCATAAGCGATTCGGAGATCGCCATTCATCATTCGTTCTCATGATCGTTCTCATCATCATCCATGATAATGAATGTTGAAGTGTTTGCTGCATGTAGCATGTAATTCTGAATTATATGGGATCACAGGTATTTCCAGATTGAGATATCTGAAAAGATATTTCATATATATGACTTGCTCACAAGTGGAAGCCAGAGCCGTGTTTTTCGACTCCGTTGTCGTAACAGAGACGCTGTACTGCTTTCTTGATGACCAAACGACCATCAGTGCATTTTCATGGAAACTTTCCTATCCACTCTGAAATCTTCGATCATCTGAACAGTTAACATGACATTTAGAGATTTGTCATATCAGAACGATATAATTCTTCTTTGTCAGTTCCTCTCAAGTAACAGTAGATTGGTAATGGATTAATACAAGACATTAGAAGTAAACGCAATATTTGACCTCGTGCCCATAGCAACATAAAGAAGATCCTCAACCTGCGATTGTTGAACAGCTCTGTTTGTTCTTCTATCATGAAGTTGAGGTTCTGTTGTTCAGAGTTCTGCACCACAATACATAGGCTGTAATATTGGATTTTCAAAATGAATATTTGTTTCAGTATGAGTAGCCATAACATTCAGTTCACGCAATTTGAATAGAAGTCAAGTTATATGGAACACCTAGAAACGTGACCCAAAAGTTTTCTCTGGAAAGATTTTCAAGTTCCTCTACCATCCTCTATGTGTTACCTAGTATCAGGAAATCATCCACATGAATTTCCAAAATTTGTTGGAAATACTATGATCTCGATAATCATTGATCTGTTGACGATTCTCTGAAGAGGATTTTTCTGCACAACCCCAACTGATTTCAAGTTTCATTGTGAAGACATTGCTTCAGGACATAATTACTTTTATTAGGAAGACATACTCTCGCTGTTTCTGTATTTACTTCATCAGGTATTCCTATGTGAGGTTGAATATCAATATAATCAATTCGAAAACCAATTCAGCAATCTTGGTAATTATCCTTTATATGAATACAATGAGCAATCGGATTTTGTATCGTTCTATACCGAATAACAGGTGAGTATGTTTCGCTGAAGTCGATTTCTAGTACTTGAGAGAATTATTGTGCAGTTGAATTCAATTTCTGTTGACAACTTCCTGAATATCTAGCGACATCTGATTACTCTTGCGTGTTGGGGTTTCACAATTCCAAACATAGTTCTTGTTGAATATTGATATAGGTTTACTCGTCCTCATGCATCATCGCATTTGAAAATTTTCACTTCTTTCCAGTTTGTCGTTTTGTTCGATTGATATCTTTATCTTCATTTTTATGTGCAATGAACTTCACTTTATCATATGTATAATGCTCATCGGTGAACAAGAGTTAATGATATTTTGTACCAACAGTTTTCTTTGCGAATGGCCCAAATTCATCTGGATGTACTTTCTCTAGTATATCAGAGCAAACATTTCCATATCATGAATTGAGTATTCTCCGAGTCTTTTTCAATTATTCACATGAGTTGCGTTCGATTTTGGCAGGTTTTTGAGGAAGAACATGGGGATCAGCAATAGCTCGTTCGTGCATGTTCTAATCTTCTATGCTCGGTCGCTTACCTACATCTGCAATGTGAGAAATTCTTGAAATTTGTTTTTCTAATTCTGATTGATGATTCTACCGACAATTCTACTGCCTTGTCTCAAAACAATATCCTCTTCATCACCTTCCATTGTAATTCATCTCGATTTGATCTCCTTTCATGACATCAAAGAACACTTTGATTCTGGTGAGTGAAGATCGTCTCGTTTCTGAAAGTATTTAAAGGATTCACAAAAGGGAGTTGATGCCGATGAGCACTTTGAAATTTTCATCTCATGATTCGGAATAACAAACTGAATGGGCTTCATCTTGATACTTCTTCAAATTTCTACAGTTTCATACAGAATGACCTCGATACTACTTTTAGTTCGTTTCTCAAAATTTGCATTCGAAAATTAGTTTTTGTGGTTCTCTCCTCCTCCGATCGCCAATAATTGCCTGTTTAGCTTCTTCACTCGTTGAAATCGTTGATGAATCCATGTTATGTCGTCATATGTTGGGTTTTGTTGGGTTTTCAGTTCCTCCATTTTGTTCTTCAAATCAAGCCTTGACCAAATTATATAGCAGACTGCGTTCCAATGAGAGCTAACATTTCCACTTTCACCAGTTAGCGCTGATGAAGCATGAGGTCAATTTTAACGCCAAATGTTACAAAATTTTGTCGTATAGTCGTAGAAGCTATGTCCTCGTATATCGAAAAAATTCGAGAAAAATTATGTAGACTATTCGGACGAATGAAAAACCCCAAGTTACCGAAGAACATATTCCTGATGAGCTCCTTTCTCTCAGGGAATGAGACGCTGATATTCTTGATATACAATATTCAATGAAAGAGGGTGTATGTGGGCACTGCTTTATAGGTAACGTGGATTTCGTGACGGGCAATGTCAATTGAATATAAGCATCAATTCACAGTTCGTATGTTGTATGTTCTGTATTCGTATCAGGAACTACACCAAGTACGTCAAATGCTTCACTGGCCATTGATTCTACAATTTCAGGAGTATTCTCCTAAATTTGCCAAACTCGCCACTTTCTTCACATTCATCTTCTACTGTCTGACAGTCTGTCATCTCACCGCTATCTTTGTTTTCACCTACACCCTTCTTCTTATATGAAATGCACCCCAGTACCATACTCATCATATAAAAGGCACCACAGACCGTCTCACGTTTTTTCAATCTCAATGTGGAATTTCACGGCAGATTCTCACATTGACGGAGGAGAAGATGGAACAAAAGGCGAAGTGACACGAAAATAAGAAATATATTCATCAGCTCTACCAATCCTGACCTCATGTTTCGGTACCGCGAATTGCTTATAGGAACAAACATGCTTCATAACAAGTTAGTTTGGTTCTTTGTACAATGATTATATGGCTAAGTGATGCAACGAAAGAAAGAAGAGAAAAAAAAAAAACAAAATGAACTTCCACGAGTTGAGCGAATTGAAATCATAAATATATGACTATGGCATTTGGTTCATTCTAAAAACAATTACATCATCCTACTGACGAACTACACATATAGTGATGATTAATCAGCGGAATTCAAGTATGCTCCATATAAGATGAGAGATATCTCTCATCATGTCTTTGGAGGGGTTCTCGAGGACATTTATCAATGTATCGAAACTGATGTGCTAGCTTTGAGGGTGTCCTCGGAGAATACACATAGACGTCCACTTGCACGTCCTTCAGATTTTGTTTTGTAGCGGCATATGAGATATTGTTATATTCTGGAAAAATCGTTGGAGCTGGTAAAGTTTCCGCAGTCATCAATGTTTCACATGAACAGAGTATGTTGAGATCGACGTGATCACTAATGAGGTCGTTGAGGCTGGAAATACCATCGCAATGCCAGAACGTATAATCCATTTGTTGCTACTGGACGCTTCTACCAGGCTGATCAGATAGTTTTGATTTGGTTTTTTTCGGACCGCGAACTCAAAGAGGTGTTTCTTTTTCACGGGTTCTCTTATCTGGTTGTACATTTGTTATTCCGTTATTCCTACTAGAGTTGAAACATTGTATCAATACTTTATAGTGTAATTGATCCGTCCTTGTCCATTCAATTTTTTCAGATAATCAAGCATCTTGTTTAAGTGCTTGGTTTGTTTTGGGGTTGAGTTCAACGTTTGGGAATGCAGAGTTCAATATTCCGTTCTCATTTTTGACGATCTGTATCACCTCATCAGTAGAGTTTGGAATTGCTTCGAACTGTCTAGGTCTGAAAGAGTTCGATTTCTTTCCAAATCGAAATCTATAGATTCAATAGTATTGCTTGGGTCGGAGTTGAGTGCATTGACAATTTCATTCGCTATCTCCATATCACTCTGTATCAAGTTTGTTTTCAGTATACCAGTGATTATTATGTTCTCGTCACGTTTGTGACGCTCTCTGATTTCTGCATGTAAGTCATCAGTTAGTTGTAATGTTTGGAGTTCGGAACTAGAGAGCCTTTTTCTTGTCTCTCCGATATCTCTTCTCATAACAAAAATATTCTTCATGTATCGATTAATTGTGAGGGATAGGGCGGCTGCTATGTTGATGATGTCCTTCTTTCTACCAGCTAGTGACAGAAACTGTTTTGGATACGGTATCAAGTCGATCTATGAAATCATCTGAAATTGGAATCATTGAGTGGTTGATGAGTTGCCGCGGACTCATCATCCAGACACGTTTCAAGTGCACTCCCTGTGTGCGATGAGTCTAAATACTGAGCAGGCAATTCTCCCTGTGTGGATCGTTCTGCTAAAGGTATAGCAGTTCGTTAACTGATTATATTTTGTATAAAAACACTTGGGAAACTGTGGCTCTCTCAATTTACTGAGTATCTGAATAACATTCTGGGAGCTTTTCTGAATATTGATCACTTTAAAACTGGTCAATGACTTGTTTATACAAAATGGTCACAGTGCCAGATCATTCAAAAATGTTTGAGCACACACGCGTCTATACTCTACAGTGGTTCGAAACCAACTAATGTATCTCCTCAAGGTATACCTATCAAAATATCAATCACTCTGTACTGAGAATTTGGAGTGAAATAAAATAAAATGGAGCAAAGGAGTGCAATTCGTGAGAAAAATATTTTATGACTTTAAGAAGCTCTCCATTTCTCCGTAGTATATCAGAATTTTTCATTCGTAAAACACCCAGATATCTTTTCGCCCAGGAGCTCTGGGAGCCTTGGTTCTTATATTCACTGACAGTATTCAATGTACACATTCCATAAAGGCAACAATATTCAGTAGTTGTGAAAAAATGTGGAATTTCATTCATATCTATGGAAAAAAAATCACGAACATTAATTTACTCACTAATGCTTTTCAACTTCATAGGTTTCACAATCAGAAGCTGCTCGATTCTGTGAATATCATAAAATGCAGTTACTTTCCATTGAGGATGAGAAGAAGAATAAGTTAATCGAACGTCTCCTTGCAGAAACAAGTAAGTTGAATGATACCGAATCAGCTATTTGTATACCTAGGCCGCGAAATACCATGTCAGTACACTGGAGAAAATTGTATTTCCGAGGCCTTGATGCTGAGGCAAAATAATCTTGGCATTCCTGAAAATTTTCACTGCTATGATATATACACACTTTTTTTTGTATTGGAATGAAGAATAACTGTTCAATTTCATTATTAAATTTTTGGTATGGAAATCACATATTTGAATATGCAGGATAGGATGAATCCTTTATAATTTGAAATATTTCAATCAATCATCCTAAGCTCAAAATATGGAGATTTGACACAATACAAACATTGAAAATGGGACATGGTGCGATGCTCCAAAGCTTCATCAGCAAATGATATTATTTGTTACATATAGTTCTGTTCTGAGAAAAATATTTCTCATATCGAGGGATAAAGAACAGTACCTCGTAAATCGCAAAAAGTGAATCTTACAAGAGAGACAACGAACGTTTTGGTGGTTACAAAATATTGACTACAGGCCATTTGATGTTCCATCACAACAGAGTGATGCACTGCCAAATTCGAATTATCACAATTTCATTATAAATCCCTCTTCAAGGAAAATAGGATCAGATGTGTGGTCCTGCTCTAATTATCACATCAAATACGAGGTAATGCCTCAGTTACTCAATTCAATATCAATTCATGAATAAACCATCAATGACTCTTGAAAAAAAATTTATTGAAAATATAAACGAACATGAATTCTAAAATAACAGTCCTGGATGAACAAAAAATATTGAAATAAAATATAGTTCTATTTATAAGGTAATAAATCATAGAACGACCAACAATCTTGTGCAATCACTTGTTCAATAGCCTGAAGATCCAAAAATTTTCTTTTTGTAATAGGCAATGGTGGATCATATAGTTGAGAAAAATCTCCATCTTTCGAAATTATTTTCGATGGTCTAGATGGAAGGGTTTGAAAATCATCTCCATAATTAATTTTGAAGGATATTTCACCATTCCTGTATCTCAGAACCCGTATATCTGTGACTGTTGAGCCATCTGATGACCTGATAGATTTATACTTGAGCAAAGGCTTGTGTCCAGAATTCTTGAAGAATGTATAGGGCTCAGTTTGAACTTCGTATGGATTTTTCAGTCTTGCTCTGGTAATACGAGGGTAATCACTGGGTAGGTAGATTTCTTTATGTTCCAATGATGATTCAATGGCAGCATGAACTGATTCACACTCCATTTGAGTGTGACAACTGGTCTGCACTGCATTCGAGTGATATCTGCTGGCAGTTGCGAGATGCTGCACACGCCATGTCATCAACTTTTTCACGCCTACATATACAAGGTACTGCGTTTTTGTACTTACGAGCTCCTGCACTTTTGGAATAGGATAACGCACATACGAGGTCGCGTTAATCAACTTTTAAAAATCACAGGAAACTAATCTTCATTTGATATCTATGCCAACAGATGCCTCTAGGTATACTTATTAGAATAGCATCAATACCTCATTTTTTGTAGAACTGCGAGTTACGAGGTACCGCAATTCAGCCCTCGATATTGGAAAATTAATATGAGGAATTCTTTGTATAGAAATGAAGGGTCGAATGCGAATCATCTTCATCTCTGTCAGAGCAATGTTGGATTTTTTTGATAATTTGACTTTAAAGAGAGTAATGTCAAGTAATTCTTCGACTATGTTTTCCTCCATTTCTATAAAAACGAATCTCAATATGTGAATCGTATTTTGTTCCTCAACATGTGAAATATTTTTTCAAGAACATAACATTTTGTAACAAATAATAATGTTTGCTGATGTTGACGTTTAGAAGAATAGTTTTGGTGAAGTTGACTGTAGCTTTTTTTGCCTGCCCTATCATCCTCAATCCATTGCAAGATGCATCGACTCAGATGATTTGATGATGAACTCTTCATTGTCGTTTTTCAGAACGATCATATTGACAAAATTACTTCTCGATTGGCGGCCGTTACTATGAGTAACGATTGCGAGATTCGTTATTGCGTTGTTACTACTCTCTGATTTGTTATTTTTCACGAATCATAATATTTCTCTTCAATCATTCATTGAATAAGAATTATTTCAAAACGCAAAGAAGAAGCGACAATTCGTCGATAGCGAGGAGTAACAAGAATGAAAATTCTAGCAATTATCTGGTGATTTGGATCAGATTGATCAATTACTGATACTGTAACCGAACGAGATTGGTGAAAAAATCAGAGGATTAAGACGAAGAGACAACAAAATCTTCGGGTTTTGATTTGTATAGACATGCCTACCATGGTTCATCCTATACCATCACCGTTTCTGAGTATGTGTGACGAGTGTTGGAGAAAAATATGATCTCAAAGCGATGAAAAAATATTGGTGAAAAATAGCTTTATCAACTGCGAAATAGCCAGAATGCTTAAAGTGCAATGAAATGTCAAATACAGCAAGCCCAATGTGATTTCAACAAATTTTCATATCATGAATGATTTTGGTAGATGACGAAAAAGAAAACTACATTCCTGGCTAATGCCCAATGTCATGCAGATCGTATACTATCATCCTACTGAAATCTATGCATCGATAAATGTTGTGGGTTGCCAAGAAAGTGGTTGTTTTTCTTTCATCAACTACCCTTGTTGTTCATTTCATGAACATTCGTGAGAATTACTTCCAGCTTCTTCGAATTCATTCAACCACCCAAGTTTTCTGAATAATCGCTTCAGTATAAAATTGGATTCGCAACAACTTTCGAATATGTTTTTTGAATTCTAATAATATTCCATTAAGCGCTGTAGGTCCCGTGCACGTTTGACACATCATCGAACCTGGATGTAAAACAACCTCACTTTTTTCATTCGTTACAGAGAATTGGAATTTTTTTTTCAATTATTTTGGTAAACCAATTGTGTTTCTTGGGCAATTTATTGAGTGATGAGATTTTTGAGTTTACTTTGATTCAAAAGTACTATAGTAACTCATTTAGTTTTCATTTTGGAATATTGTCATTCTTCTCCAGAATTTCTTCTGCAAAAAGAGCTGGCATATTTGAGCAGTTTTCAGAGGAAGATAAGAAACTATGGATCGTGCAATCAAACTTGAGGACTGTTTTAACATGCTGACAAAGAAAAACCTGATATGTGTTGTAGATAACGCTCCTATTATCAGTACTGTTGCAGATTGAAATCTGAAGAGAGATAAAAAAATTCCGAAACCAAAACAATGTGAGTGACTTTAGTACTTTGGGTTCACGAATCCTTGAAAATCTGATACCATCATCTCTCGCTGCATTTCTTGTGCATTCTGCGACAGCGCAATGTGATGACATGCTTCATTGAATGAATAGCCCAAGAAACACGATTTGTTCGATAAAATAATTGTGGTACTTTTTAAATTTCTCGTGAACTAATCAGAAGTGTGAATGAGGATGTCTTACCCCCAGGAGAGTTCATCAGTCAAATTTGCACGCGACCCACAGCAATGATCACGTGACCTGTGTATAAACAGGGCTCACTTTCTGGTCCAAATCGATGTTTAGGCTCTCAGACGTGCATAGTAGTGTGAATGTCTCGATGATACACATATGTGGGTATATTGCAGACTTTTATGGATGACACTGCATTTGTATATGATTCTGTTCATGAACGAATATGTTTGAAAGCATTATTTTCAAGAATGTCTGCTAGGCGGCCTATCTCACGATCTGAATCAGATAGCATTCTGGAGGTCATCATTAATATGCTCTGGCATATCTGATTGTGAATAGAAACCGATTCGTGCCATAAAAAAATTTTTATTCCTTGTATTTCCATTCGAGAATCCCGATTAAGTACGTTTGAAATATGAGAAAGTGTATGAGATTATTGGAATGAAGGGGTTTATCTAGATCGGTTGTGAGAAGAGGATCTCCATGGAGGAACATAATAATGAAATTAATACTAAGGGGTGCCGGCTGAAGTGTATAACGAATGAAAATAAATGTTTCGAAATCATTGAATTTAATATTGATATAACGACTATCTAACTAGACTTGATCGACTTTTCTGGAGTTGAGGGCTCTGCTTTTGATTAGCATCCTCGTATGCGGATTCGAACTGTTTTTTCCATATTCATGGTTAAAACCGTTTGTTAGGAAACGTACGACGACACAAACATCACCATGCATGATTTCCTAATCAGTAATATAACTCGGAAATCGTGTCTTGTGCAGTGACCTTTGAAATATTTGAGATTTTCTGATATTCCTTCTTCAGGAGATGAGCTGAGTATTATTTCAGTATTCTTGTTGTGGGGATATATTGTCACGATCCTGGTCTTCCTGATGGGATGAGGCCACTGGATCATCTTTGAGGGTAGCTCAGATAGGGTAGATCATTTCAACTCAGACACTAATAGTTTAATAGGTATGAGAAGTAGTGAAAACCATGTTAAAACCACAAATACATTTATTACATCATTGATATAAAAGAGGAATCATCCAAATGCGATACAAAACGAAAACGAATTACGAAACAACGGGAAACCTCAAATTCCATAGAGAATATTGTTTATGTAACGAAAGTAAATAACAGGGCCATTTCTCTTATTCAATTCAAATTATAACTCGATAATTAGATATTTATTACCTTTGCATGTCCACCGAGATCACACCAGCAATACACTAAGGCACTGGCAAAGCATCCCTAAGGAAAAAATCACTGTTCAAACCCAATCAACCCCATCAGCGCCTCACAAGGGTAGCACAATGACGAGGAGTGGAAGAATCCCAGAATTTCGGCATTCAAGGAATGGTTGCCATGAAACTGTGGGGGAAACGAGACTGCCAACAAACTAATGCCCATTTAGTTTGAAAATTCGACACCTCTACAGTAACCCGGTGAGCTTCGAGTATCTACAAGTCAAACACCGCACTTCGTAAACAAGGTCAAGTTCGCCATCCAACACCCGGCGTACGTGAACCGAAAGTTTGCTGACCACAGGCATGTTATTGAAAACAATAACACTTCACACAAGAAAGAAGAAAACCGATAAAAAATTCAAACGATAGGACCAAAAAACTTCATCGTAATTTTTTATCAACCCAGTTAAAGTTATTCCACCGTTTCCAATAATGCCACCAGACGTTCAGTTCAAGGAAAGGGAGACTAGCGTCCGCTATAGCCACAACGCCCTTCAAGAAACCATCCTCATTGGTATAATGATGCCAGTTTTTGTAGTTTCCCAGCTACATCATGCAACTACAAACAACTTGTAACCCACGAGCATTTCGGCAGCCCGCTCCAGCAGTCCGGAATTTAGCACTCTACTCCCGTCTATCTACAAATGTACCCAGAGGCCAAAAAATATCTTTCAAGCCCAAAAAAAGATATTCCATGAAGGGAACAATGATGTTCTCAAACCTCCCGAAGACCCACAGCTGGCAGATCGCCCCGGAAGCAGCCAGAAGCCCGTGAACAGTGATAGACAATGATGTTAGTGCCGAAACTGAATATAGCCAGTGCCAGACTAAGTAAAAGTGTATATGTGAACATTAGCCGAGTGTTGATTCTCATTTATTAGTATTTTCTTGACGATTTTTTCCCATTTTTTGAGTAGACATGTCGACTTTCGCCAGTATTTATGTAAATATGCTGATTTTGCCATAGTTTTAGGTAGTAGATTAAAACACTGGGGCCCAGCGTTTCCGGAGAGGAGAGTCATGTCACAATTAAGTAATTTTTCCAAAATCATAATCAAAGTCATTAATAATTCAATATTTCTATAAAATTATAAATCGTGCTTTTCTCATTGAACAGAAAAGTTTATAAACATTTCGAACACGTTTTGACATTGACTCGTTAACAACCTGTACGACTGAGTAACCTCCATTAGTAACGTACCGAGAATAACCTAAACAATAATAGTTCTTGAGAATTCAGATAAATACAGATTATGATTATTGAAGAGAGAGTTGATAGTTGATAACTGATAGTGGATACTTGATTAGCGGGTAGTTGCCGTCGGTCGTGGAATCTAGGGGTTCGCACAGTCGGTCGTCGCGTTAACGAGTTAGTTAGGTCTTTGTGCATCCTACCAGACAACCCTTTCCGAAATGGCCCTATATATATTGTAAGTACCACTTCTCGGACGGTTCATCAGTTTGATGATTTGCCACATAGTGTAACTGCGTTCAGAAATTCACTATCAGATTTATGAAATGCGAATTCGATCTATAATCAATGTCACTTTATTCGGAGATTATCACCTTGTCACTCACCACATTCGAAATATCTAGAAAAAAATCTTCTTTTGATTTCAACCTATGGAAATAAAAAGTTATTTTTGTATCTCGAGCGCGAAATGCTACTTTGGTGATAGAGATCTGATTTTTTTAACTCGGCTACGTCTCGTTAAAAAAATAATCGAGATGACCAAAGTATTTCGCGCTCGAGTTGCAAACAACATTTTTTTTACAAACATCAAGAAAAATAGTGTTCAACTGCCTTAAGGCCTCTCCCAATCCTCCCTAGGTGCGTACGATGTTCCACGAACATAATAAATAGTTATTTTTGTATCTAGAGCGCGAAATGCTACTTTTGTGATCGAGATCTGATTTTTTTGACGAGGCGTATCCGAGTTGGAAAAATAGTCGTGATGACCAAAGTATTTCGCGCTCGAGTTGCAAACAAAATTTTTTCTACAAACGCCAAAAAAGATACCTAGTTCAAAGTGAAAATATGCTTAGCTTGATATATAAAATAATCTTGAACTGGCTCAAAAGGCCTTTCCCTATCCTCCCTAGGTACGCACGATGTTCCACGATCATAATAGGAATTTCCTTTCGTGCGCTCCAAGAGATAAAACGAAGTTATTGTTGAACATTCAGAAATGAATGATTTCGTGGATGTTTGCTCGATTGAGAACCGTGAAGTTGAAATATAAATATCTCATATATTTTACATAACAATGCGCGAAGTAGGTACTTCGCGCACTGTTTTACTTCGCGCATTGTTAGGTGCAAGGTATCATGGTAACGTAGGAAACTGGAAATAGTGTCACTTCGCACTTTGTTTTCAATGCGCGAACCTTGTCATTTTTTGACGTTTGTAGAAGAAATTTCTGTTCGTGCGCTCCAAGAGATAAAATAAAGTTATTGTTGAACATTCAGAAATAAATGATTTCGAGAATATCTGCCCGATTGAGGACCATAAAGTTGAAATATAAATATCTCATATATTTTACATAACAATGCGCGAAGTAGGTACTTCGCGCACTGTTTCACTTCGCGCTTTGTTTCGTGCAAGGTATCATTGTAACGTAGGGAACTGAAAGAAAGTGTCACTTCGCAATTTGTCATCAATGCGCGAACCTTGTCATTTTTTGACGTTTGTAGAAAAAAAATATTATTTCTCGTCAATTCATACTTTTTATTGAGATAAGTTGACGAAATGATTACAGAAACAACCATCAGTAACGATGGCAGAATTCAATGAATAATGTCATGAGTTAATAATGAAATTTCAACAGGTGTCATTGGACCATATTGGACATCCGGAAAGAAATCTGGCGAAGTATGGATATGGTATTCAACTGGACAGACGCTATCTTTCTTCAACTGGAGTCCATTTTCGAACGCTGAAAACAACTGTATCGGCATTGATGATCGTGGAAAATGGATCAAACGAAACTGTCTACAGGATAGCATGAAATTCATATGCGAGATGCCTAGTGTGGCTCATATTTCTCAATGTCCTGTTCAGCCAGTCGTTAACATTTACGTGCAGGATGCAATGATAACATCATCCGGAAAAAAATTAGTTGATATTTTCACTAAATATGACAATATTTCTGCTGAATAATAATATCATAAGAGTGTGAGTGTTCTGAAGAAATATATTATCCTTAGTTCATGGAATTGGAGAAACTCACCCTTGTATATATACCAATTTAATAATGCATCACGTGTCATCTGTTCCATTTTGTATCAGTCAATTTGCTCTCACATCTTTTATTTCGATATTTCTTCAAACAGTAAAACCTCATCCCTGATTTCTACAGGAACAGAAAAGATTTCATCCTCAAATGAACAAGAAATAGTGAAAAATCCTGCTACTAAACAGAACAAACCAGCTAATAAATTGAATATCAATACTCGTAGTCGATTGAATAATCAGAATTAGTAGTGATAGACTTTTTTTTACTTTCTTTATATATTTATATTCATATTTTCTGATGTTTCGCTCCTGTTCTCATACTCAGATTGAAATTGTATTATTTCACTATACATATATTGTTGGTAGTTTATTATTTTTATATGTTCTTGAAATGGCGAGTAATGTCAGATTCTGTCATATTAACACAAGATCATTGGTGAAAAATTGTTCAAAATTCAAGTCAACTGCCTACAATAAATTTGATATTATCACCATTTCTGAAACGTGGCTGAAAGATAACATTTCTGATGATGTAATTTGTCTTCCGGGGTATAACCTTCACCGTTTGGATCGTCTCACTAGCCGTGGAGGAGGCGTTGCGACATACATTAAAAAATCATTTGAAGTGAAACAGATTTCAGCTATCAAAATTGAGTCTACGGAACAACTGTGGCTCTCTGTAGAAATAAAAAATAAAAAATATGCCGTAAGCACTCTATATTCACCTCACTCTTCACTCCATGAAATTTTTCTCGATGAATTCGAACAAATTCTCTCCACAATTGGTCACAAGTTTGACTTCATCTTATGTGCTGGTGACTTGAATATTGACGATCTTGAGGTAGGGAGCAGGGAGTATTACAAACTGCACAATGTTCTGGGTGCATTTCGACTAAGACAGGTAATTGATGAACCTACAAGATTTGGTCCAACCTCAGCAAAATTACTCGATGTCATTATCTGTTCTGAAGATTTGGCTCTCAAGAATTATTCAGTGCAACAACCCTTCTCAGATCACTGCCTTGTTAGCTGTGTTATCGAAAATGAAAAATCTTCCTAGAAGCCCTTTTTATATACTTTCCGTGATTTTCGTGACTTTGATTCTGAAGACTACCGCTCTGATTTGGCAGATAGTGATAAACATCGAATATATCATACAATGTCCATCGATGAAAAAATCAGCATACTAAACAAAACTATCTTAGATACCTTCAATGTGCATGCTCCAGTGGAGACAGTAAAAATCACCAAACGAAAAGCTCCATGGCTTACCGAAAGCATCCGTCTCATGAGCAGTATCCGTGATAAAGCCTTAGTTCGGTACAAAAAATCCAAACAATTATCTCACTGGAATTTTTATAAAGACATGCGCGATCAGACAAATTGTGCAATAAAGCCAGAGAAATAAGCATACCTGGAGTATAGAATGCGTCACAGTGATAGAAGAACTATATGGAGAGACCTTAGGGAACTGAATATTCAAACAAAAAAATCGTATGGTAACATACCAGAACATTTCAATGATCTGAATGCTATTAATGATTATTTCATCAATTTCTCCGACGGAGCTGCTGATGCCGACACTACTGCACACTTTGCTCAGAATATTAAAATAGGTGTAGGTACTTTTGAATTTGTATGGACCAATGAGAACGAAATTTATGAAATTCTGATGTCTAACAAAACTAAGGCTATTGGAGCGAATGGAATTGGAATCAACATGCTACTACATAGTTGTCCTTTCATCTCAACCTTCATCGAGCACATTTTCAATTTCTGTATCTCTAACAATGTTTTTCCCTCTATTTGGAAAAAAACTCATGTTATACCTCTACCTAAAGTACGTGACCCACATGATTTAAAAGACTTGAGGCCTATAAGCATCCTTTGTACATTATCTAAAGCTTCTGAAAAGGTTCTTAGTAAACAGATCACATCATACCTATATAGATTCGATATTTTGCCTCATTGTCAGTCTGGTTTCAGACCTAACTACAGTTGTGTGACTGCTTTATTAAAAGTTACTGACGATATACATGCCTCTCTGGACAAGAAAGAGCTAACCATTTCGATACTATTAGATTATACTAAAGCTTTCGATAGGATAGACCATCAACTACTCTTATCAATTCTGCATTACATCGGTTTCGGAAATGGTTCTGTGAATTCATTGAGACATTACCTTGCTAAGCGGCTACAGGCTGTGATACATGAGCAGTCATCATCCCAATATCTTTACTTGAAAAGAGGTGTCCCTCAAGGTTCCATATTGGGTCCTCTTATGTTTATAATCTACACCTTCGAATTCACCACATACTTGAAATACTGTCAATCGCACTACTATGCAGACGATACACAATTATATTATGGCTTCAAAGAAAGCGATGTCGCAACAGCATGTGAACGAATCAATGATAACATTAAATCGTTAGAGATGATTTCTACTAATTTCAATTCGACTATAAATCCCTGTAAATCTAACGTTATGTTATTTGGAAGTACACCAGCTCGCAAGCGGTGTGTTGATCTCATAAATATTATTGCGGGTGGTGTGAACTTGACGCTAAATGAAAATGCCAAAACTTTGGAATATTATTAGACAATAAGTTGAGATACTCATCGCATGTTACCATGATACTTCGCAGAGCTTCTGGTAATCTCAAACTCATTTATAGTAATAAAGCACTTTTGAATAAAAATCTCAAGATAATGTTGTGTGAGTCTCTAGTTCTGTCCCATCTCAATTATGGAGATGTAATCTATGGGCCCAATCTTTTGAAATCAGACTGTCTTAGAATTCAACGAGTACAAAATTGCTGTGTCCGGCTCATATTTGGCCTGAAGAAGGGAACACCTACATCACCACATTTAAGAAGTCTGGGTTGGTTGAATATGGAAGAAAGACGCTTAGTGCATGCTTGCATTCTTTTTCACAAAATCATAATTTCGAGAACTCCACCATATTTATACAATAAAATCAGATTCAGAACGGATGTTCACAACCTCAATATTGAACACAAATCGCGCATCACTCCTCCTCAGCATAAGTCAACTTTCTATGAAGGATCTTTCAGTTTTCATTCGACTAGGCTATACAACTGGCTTCCAGAGGAGTTGAAAAGTGTATCTGTTTTTGTACTCAAACAGAGGCTGAAAAATTGTTTGATATCAGGGAGAATTTCGTTTCCTTGATATAGTTCTCTGTCAATATCTGTTCACAACTGATCTATGATAATATCTCTAATATAGGACTATAGTTCATGAATATGTATATTATTATATCTTCTCTCTTTTTTTCTGCTTTTTCATCTTTCTTCCTTCTGTTATGAACATAATGATGTTTCAGATGATTATGCATGTATCATTCAATTATTATTAGATTCTAGTAGTTAGTTATTTTCAAATATATATTTGAACTCACTCATATTGACTTGAATGCATATGAATGAGTTTTTACTGGTTGAGTGGAAGAGAAAATTCCTGTCTTCACAGGCAATTTGAACTCTGCCATTTGGCAGGCATTTATTAAGTGTATTATCATTATTATTATTATATTTAGCCTCCTTTGTACATCAGTTTCTTCTCTATTCGCACATATCCTCTCAATAAAACGGTTTTTCACAAGAGAAAAGTTATATTATTCCAGAGATGACAGGTGACGTCAATTGTTTCCATCACCAATTCAAGTTTCAACAAGGCCTTCGACGAAGTTAGCTATATAATACTTCTGCATGAGTTGAAATATGAATTTGGATTTCACCATGATCTGCTGTCTCTATAAGCATTATACCTATCAAATCGAAAACAATAAAAGGTGGTGGAAAGATATAATTTCAACTACCTGAATTACAACTCTAGGTATCCCTAATGAATTGGGAGTAAGTCCTTTCCTGTTCTTTCTGTTTTCTGATAACCTGCCAGAAGTAATAAATGGGTCACAGTAGGTTCTCTACTCCGCGGACGATCTGGAAATATTCAAAACGATTAGGACTCTTTTATCAATCGTTTCTGATTACTTCGGTGCATCGTATTTAGATGTTGATATTGTGCCTATTTTTCGATAATGAGGGTTCCTTCCACCTCTCCGGTGATTTCACTCATTCAGGTTGGGAATATGAAATATGCAAGTCGGGCGGTATGTTCAGTTTATTGGTATAGGTGCTTTGTATATCATAAGAAGCTGATGATGTGTAAAGTACCCAGCAGCACATAGAGGTCCTGAAGATATCCCGAAGATATCCTTCTAGGACATTGTGATGCCTTTTGTAACTTTTTCGAGAGATCGCTGAGAACGCTATATCTTCTCCAAATGTCTGCCGCCTAGGATGAGCTCAGCGAGGTCTTTAAAATGTGTCACGGAACAATTTCCATTCAATGCCCTGGGGCAAGCACTTTGAGATATTCGCATCAATCGCCACTAGCAAGATCTCGTAGGGCTTGCAACTACGAGCTGTTTGAGATATTCGCAGACATAGTCTTTCAACGAGGAATCAAGAAAATTCGCATCAATTGCTGATGACGAATTCTTCAAGTGCTCACAACTATGAGTTGGTCAAGAATCCGTGCACATCGCCTGATAGCAAGGACTTAATGAGCGATATTCTAAGAGAAAAAAAATTGTTCTATCCGTCATTTGGTTGCCCCCTTACAAGCAACCCTCAAAAGTCTTCGAGAGTATTGTGCTTGCAAGGAATGACAGGGGCCTTACCTTTTGACGTGTGATCCCAAACACTTCCTTTGGCCATCAGAAGAGTTTCTGCAGTCGATGGGAATCGAACCCACGACCGGCAAGCGAATGCGAATTAGAATATAGACACTCTGACCGCACGGCGATTTCACTTAATATACTGTACGCTAGCACATACCACGCCCACCGTTATATCTCATCTTCAAAGAACTTTTCTTAGGCAAAACTCAGAGCCTAT